TATAAAGCACAGCGCAAACCGCCGCAGGGGTTTAGTGGGTACGCCACGCGCCCGGCATGCCTGCCGGGCGCACTCCGATCGACATTAGGAGGGCAGTCCCACATAACCCGGGCCCCACCCCCAGGGGAGATGCATTTATGCCTCCCCGGGGCCCGGGTATCCATAAAGGATTCCCCTGCGTTACAAAAAAAAAGGTCTGTCACAGCCTGCGTCGAAGGACATCGAAGAATTAAGCAAGTGTGATATATGTCTGAGAGGAAAGATGACCGCTGTTCCCTTTCCCAAAGGACATCCACCATGTGCTGAAATATTAAGAATCGTACACTCAGACGTTGTAGGACCTCTACGAGTTCAGTCTATGAGCGGCGCTAGATTCTTTGTCACATTTATTGATGACAGCTCAAGATGGTGCGAGGTGTATTTTCTAAAGCACAAGAGCGACGTATTCGAGGCCTTTAAGCAATATAAGGCTTTTGCGGAACGACAAACAGGAATGAGCATTAAGAGTCTGCAGTCGGACAACGGGAAGGAGTATTGCAATGCTCTCATGGATTCCTTGTTGACGGATTGTGGGATAGAGCGTAGATTGACCGTGGTGCTCCACAGCAAAATGGAATCGCAGAACGGATGAATCGAACTCTCCTTGAAATGGCTCGCTGTCTGATTCTTCAATCTGGACTTCCATTGACTCATTGGGCTGAAGCAGTGGCAACGGCTTGCTATACTAGAAATCGCTGTCCGTCCAGTAGTTTAGATGGAGCATCTCCCTACGAGAAGTGGACAGGCGAGATACCTAACGTAAATTGTCTCCGATCATTTGGATCCAAGGTATTCATTTTGGACAAGAATCCCACGAAGGACAAATTCGCAGCTAGGTCGATTGAAGGAGTCCTTGTTGGATACCCGCGGGAGACAAAAGGTTACTGAGTCTGGATACCCGAAATGAATAAAATCATTGTGGCTCGAGACGTAAAATTTCTGGAGGCGAAACATGAATCTGTAGCAAATGATTACAGTACTCGTGAGTTGTTTCAGGTACCTTTATGTTTGGAGGACGAGGCTACTGAACCAGGAACTCCGCCAGGCCTATTGATGGTGCACCGAGAGAGCGGACCAGCCCTGTGCTTGCTGATGTGCCGAGGACACCAGAGAGGCCGATGCAACCAAGAACTCCAGAAAGGCGTGCGCCCGGTAGACCAAGGCTGTTACGTACCGGAAACAGGGGGCGTCCTCGCAAAGTGTATCAAACGATTAGTGAGGGAGCTCCAAATGAGGATGATGTATTAACCGAAGTAGTTGCAGACGAGTTAGAGGATGATGTTTTTCGCGAGGTGAATGTTGCCGCTGACGACATGTTCGCCGGGGTTGCTGAAGTCTCCATCCGAGAAGCAATGATGAGTGAAGAGGAGAATGAATGGGAGGAAGCCATCCTGCTGGAGGTGGAAAGTCTGGTCAAGAACGACACCTTGAAGATTGTCAAGAAGCCTGAAGATAAGAAGGTCGTTGGTAGTCGGATAGTGCTAACAAATAAGTATGGTCCTGACGGTTCGATTGCAAAGCGAAAGGCAAGAATAGTAGCCAAAGGATATAGTCAGCGCTATGGTGTGGACTATCATTACACGTTTGCTCCGGTGGCTCGACTGGACTCCATAAGACTGATGCTAGCCCTTGCGGCTGAACTCGGATTAACCATCTGGCAGTTTGATGTGGTGACTGCTTTCTTAAATGGATATTTGGATGAAGAGGTTTATATGCAGCTACCCGACATGCTGATGAATTCGCTTGAGAAACTAGTCCTCGAGAAGAATTCCTTACCAGAGGTGAAGAATCGAGCTGAAAATATGCTAAAGGAACTGCATGCAGGAGGAAATGCTTGCCGATTAAATAAGGCACTATATGGCTTGCGTCAAGCCGGTCGACAATGGAATATTCGACTAGACGCAAAACTAAAGAAGATGGGGCTCGCTCCAACGAGAAGTGAGCCATGCTTGTATCAAGCACATCGTGATTCAGATATTCTTTTACTGCTGATATATGTTGACGATATATTAGTGGCCT